AATCTGCATCTTTTTCAGCCAAATTTTGGACAGACTGACAGAGTAGCAAGATGTGAATTTCATCCACTGCCAGCAGTTTAGTACGTTTTTGCATTGGTGAGTCAGTCTTTTGACGGGGCCCATTCACCAGCAGCACAGCAGGCTCCACTTTTCATCTGGGCACAGCGGAAACGTGCACAGCTTGAGCAGACATCAGGGTGTTTGGGTGCTTCTGGCTCTCCGCCTGTAAAAGAAGGGAGAGAGGGAGAGAGAGGGATGGTTCACACTGCCAAGCCTCCATGGGGGTTGTTGTGGCAACATGACACAACCAGGGCACCGATGGATGCGGACTGAATGACAATGTGAACTGGATTTGGTCGTCTGTTGAAAGTAAAAACAAGAATCCTTGAGAAATGTTAACATTGGAGCAAAATGTTTGTGGTAACAAAATCCAACAGGTCACGTCTTTGGTTTTTGCTGCTTCATTAAACACCTTGACTCACTGTGCTCAGACTGCCGGCAACTAAAACCGTTTTTGGGTTGAATTGTTCTTTGCTCCATTTTAATCATTACTTTAAAGAGCAAGTCACCCCCTACAATTTACCAACTCCACTCCCACTTCATGTTTGAAAAATGCAACAAATGCTGTTGCCTGGCAGACCGAGAGGGCGGAGCCGCTAACAAATACACACTCACACAGGCTCACAATGGCATTGTGACATCATAATGTACCAGCCAACATCATAGCATACCTCTTAGCCAATAGCGGTGGCAGATTTAAATTCAGATACAGTGCAGAGTTTTTACCTGACAACGGCGCAACACTGCCAGTTTTAGGCAGAATATGTAAATTTTAACTAAGATGCACTGAAGTGCCAAATTATTGACGACACGTGTCTGCAGCACGATTAGACACTCATTTATTTAGTTTATCAGAAAAAAATTTTTATTTGGGGTGACTTGCTCTTTAAGATTGTTTTATGTGAGAGGGATTTACTGCAACAAACCTAATGGACATTTGAATATTAGCTCTTGCTGCGAAATAGGTATAAAATGTCTAATTTTTCAAGCTCACGACACTTGTGCACTTTTCACAATGTCTCACCAAAGGCCCACTGAGTTCCTGGCTTGAAATGGTAAAGCATATTAACATAAGCGTTTCTTTGCCACCCTTTATTTCCTCCAAAACTGGCATATTGTTGCACGTATTTGTGAATGAGGTTGTGTTCCTGTGTGTTAAGAATTTTCACACTTGTTTGACTTCATAGGTTCAAGCCACGGATGCAGACCAGGGAGAGAACGGAAGGGTTTTGTACAGGATCATTTCTGGTGAGTGTTCCTCACACATTTGACTTTTTGCGGTGACGAACTGTCAAAACAAATCCCAAAAAGTCCTGATTATTCACATTCCTCCTCATTGCTCACAGGAAACAACAACAATCAGTTCAACATAGACAAACAGACGGGTCTTATAACAAGAGGCATCCAGCCGTTGGACAGAGAAACCAGTAGCTCCCATGTGTTGGAAGTGGAGGCCTACAACAGCGACGAGGGCATCATGAGGAGCTCTGTGAGGGTGAGCAGGGTATCCACGGGTCCTGAAAAAGTCTTAAATTTGCTTTTCCAAATTTAAGGTCTTAAAAATCCTTAAAAATGACAAATAATCCTTAAATACAGTTTCCAAAGGTCTTAAATGACCAAAGACCCAATAAACAAAATTATTTTATTTCTATAAAATTTTGTGAATTTCTAGTTAGTGTTCAGCATTTTTTGTGTGTGATGTTGCCGTAAGCGGAACCGTACACATTCAGTTGGTTGTGAAAGGGGGCTATTTTTAGATGAGCACATTAGCTGGTTAAGCTAGTGGGCGCTTGCGACATGGGGAAGTGCAAGTTTAATGGTAACTGGATGGCTAATCCCACCTTTGCGACGTGGTTAGCACCGGTTCCAGGCAATAGCTGGGAATTATAGCTTAAATTCGGTCAAAGTGGCCTGAAGAAAGGTCTTAAAAAGTCTTAAATTTGGCTCCTTTAAACCTGCAGATACCCTGGGTGAGGTCATTAGCTGAGCTGTGTTTTCTGCCTTTTATGTAGTAAAACCTAAATCTCCGTTTCAGATCGGAACTGCATCTTTAAAACATGATGCCAAGATGGTCAGTTTAAAAAAAGCAACTTTTGCTGTCCATCAAACTGTGCTGGGTTAAAGGTCATTCTCCAAACAATTTGGAGGCTGTCATTCTACCGCGAGAAAGGTTGTTCAAGTAGAAAACATTAGAGACGGTCTTCCCAGGAGTGGACGTCCAACCTCAAGGTCAGAAGAAAGGACATCATGAGAAAATAGAAAAGAGCACTGCAGCATGACTTTGGTCTGCAAAGCTGTCTCCAAATGAACCACAAGATGTCTAGAAACGTTTCCTGTAGAGAGATGAGACCAAATTAGAGATGTTGTCATCATAAACAGGTCGTACCGGCTTCCAGCATGGTGGTGGGAGGCTGATATAGCATCTTGTCCACCATGAGCTTCTCTGCAGAGCCGTGTCCAGGACTTTTAAAATGGGGTGGCCCATGTGGGGCACTTGTTTATGCATGGGTGGCACCAATGGTTGTGCTTATTTATTTATTTATTTACACAAATCGTTTATTTATTTATTTACTTTCTAGTGAATTTTGCAGTTTCACATTGCACAATCACCATTTTTTTTCTATTCATCTTCTAGTTTTGTGGTGGTTAGCAAGTCACTTCTTGTTGCATTACTGCCGCCAACTGGAGTTGAGTGGGACTCTAAATACTATTTATGTGAATATGAAAATATAATGAATAATATTAATACTACAGAAATGTTCTGTAGGCCTGGGCTAGTAAACAATGTTAAAGGTGCATGCTACCACACTATTTTTGGAGTTTACAACTCAAGCCTTTTGTCGACAATATAAAGTCAATTTAAACTGGAACTTAGGCCCTGTCCACACGTAGCCGGGGATCTGCCGAAACGTAGATATTTTTCTACGTTTTGGCCTGTCATCCACACGAAAACGGATCTTTTTAAAAACTCCGGCCAAAGTGAAGATCTGCGTTTTCTCCGTTTTGGGTGTCTGCGTGTGGACAGACAAAACCGGAGTTTTAAAGTCCGCAACGTCACTTTCTGCGGCAAAAAAAATGCTGACATCACGTGTGCGACCTGTGTTTACACTAGCCGACAGCATGGATGCCCTCAGAGCTGCGCTCGCTTTATCAATTGTCCAAGCGCTTTTTGCTTGTTTGTTTTTGCAAGCGGAATTACTGCTCCTTGCGGAAGACCACAGACGAAGGACGAGGTTAAGAACGGGGGAAGTACTGCCGCCTACAGGTCTGGCATGTCCTTAACAACATATTTATTCGGGTACGTGTGGACAGAGTTTGTTTTTAAAACGAGGTGGTGTGGATGCAAGTTTTTGGAGGGGCGGATATTCATTTTTAAAAAAAAAAACAGCTACGTGTGGACTAGGCCTCAGTAGGGTGGCACCTGGGGTGGCCAATCGGATTCTAAGGGTGGCATGTGCTACCCCAGGCCACTCCCTGGACACGCCCCTGCTTCTCTGTACACCAAAATATTCTAGAGTCCATCCGTCTGACTGCTGATTGGACCAAACTGGGTCAGAAAACGGGACGATGATCCCAGAAGGAACAACTGGAAAAGAAAACCATGATGTTGCAGCAGATCCTGGGGAGAGCCTGGGAGAGGGTTGCAGAAGTGAAACAAACAAAGTGACGTTAGAAAGTTGAGTGAAGGTGTGAGACTGTTTCAGGTTGGACAGAAAACAGAGTTCCTGCTGATCAAAGATGGTTGTGGAGTTATGAGGTGGACATTTTTCACTCGCAGCTTTTTAATTTTGGCTTCATCTTTGTTTAATAAATAATATCACGTTGAAATCTGTTGGGTAATTTTGTCCACTAATACTGGTAAAGACCAGGTGATTTTATTCAGTCCTGATGCAGGGTATCCGCGGGTCCTTGAAAAGTCTTAAATTTACTTTTCCAAATTTAAGGCCTTGAAAATCCTTAAAAATGACAAATAATCCTTAAATCCAGTTTCCAAAGGTCTTAAATTACCAAAGACCCAATAAACAAGATTATTTTATTTCTATGAAATTTTTGTGAATTTCTAGTTGGTGTTCAGCATTTTTTGTGTACGATGTTGGCGTAAGCGGAACCGTACACATTCAGTTGGTTGTGAAAGGGGGCTATTTTTAGATGAGCACATTAGCTGGTTAAGCTAGTGGGAGCTTGCACCATGGGGAAGTGCAAGTTTAATGGTAACTGGATGGCTAATCCCACGTTCGCAACGTGGTTAGCACCGGTTCCAGGCAATAGCTGGAAATTATTGCAGAAATTTAATTAAAAAAAATTAGCTTAAATTTGGTCAAAGTGGCCTTAAAAAAGGTCTTAAAAAGTCTTAAATTTGGCTCCCTTAAACCTGCAGATACCCTGTGATGAGTGAAACCCCTAAATTTGCAGAAGGATTTGTTTTTCGGTTTTCCCGTGATTTCATAAACTGGTCTGGACTGAAATCCAGCCTCTTAAACGGGACTTTGATTTAGACCATGATCTCTTTCTCAATGAATCCTACCAGGTCAACATGCAAAGTAAAACAAAAACAAAAACCTTTTGTCCTGCAGGTGATCATTTATGTCAATGATGCCAACGATGAAGTTCCAGTGTTCACCCAACAACAGTACAACCGTCTGAGTCTCCGAGAGACCGCCGGCGTCGGCACCTCTGTGATTGTGGTGCACGCCACGGACCGTGACACCGGTGAGTTCTTTTGGATCCAGCAGGGGCTGAGCTCGTGACCAGTTCTTGCACCCCCAAATCTAGTTGGTGCTATTCCATCACAATAGGCAAGGCAAGGCAGCTGTATTTCTAGAGCGCATTTCAAACACAGAGGCAGTTCAGTGTGCGTTACAGTTATCAGGACATGGTATGAAAACAACATGAACCTTAACCCTGAAATGAACCACACACAGGAGAGGAGTCAGTAGGTTTTATGCTGTGTTGTTAGACGGCGGAGAGGAGACATGCCAGAAGCCTCTCCGAGCCTCCGTCATATCAACTCTGCCTGTTCTCTGCTCCACAGTAAGTTTCATTGAAGGACAGGGAAAAATGACAAAGAACCATTCATCACTGTTCACAGTTAACCAATTACAGCACTTCTAAGGCGGGACCTGCTCAAGTTACAGAGTTGTCTGCTGAAAGCCAAAAGCTGGCTCTTAATTTATGACTGACAGCCAGCACATATGATTACTTAAAGAGGAGCATTTAAAACAGTAATACGTCAAAACACCTAACAGAGACGATGCATGATGAGAAACAATTCATGTAAAGGCTGATGAGTACATGAGGAGGGGCTGCGCAGTGGTTAGAGCTGTTGCCTTGCAGCAGGAAGGTCCTGGGTTCGCTTCCCGGTCTGGGATCTTTCTGCAAGGAGTTTGCATGTTCTCCCTGTGCATGCGTGGGTTCTCTCCAGGTACTCCGGCTTCCTCCCACAGTCCAAAAAAACATGACTGTTAGGTTGACTGGTCAGTCTAAATTGTCCGTAGGTGTGAGTGTGTGTGTGTGCATGGTTGTTTGTCTTGTGTGTCTCTGTGTTGCCCTGCGATGGACTGGCTCTCTGTTCAGGGTGTACCCCGCCTACTTGCCCGTTGACTGCTGGAGATAGGCGCCCCCCCCCCCCCCCCCCGACCCTGCGTGGATAAAGCGGGCTCTGAAGATAGATGGATGGATGGATAGATGGAGTACATGAGGGTTTTGGTTTAGGGTTAAACAACACTAGGGTTGGGGCACATCTGAGGTCATGGGGATGCTGATTCCATATGTGAGCAGCATCAGGGGCGGCGTTAGGCCCGGCTACTTGGGCTGAAGCACCGAATGTTTTATGAAAAGCCCCGGATCTAAATCGTGGAAGTGACATGCAGTACCAAAGTCCAACAGAGAGGGCGCAGCTGGCAGTAGTTTGTATACAGCCTGCCTGAGCCTCCACCACTGAAGAAGAAGCCCTTCAGCAGCCGGCTTCTTCTGCACTCTCTGCCTGAAACGCATGAGTGAAGATGGACATAAGGACGTTTTTTAGACCAAAAGTAGAGAACCCCAGCTTTGATGAGACTGGTGTTGACTCAGGTTTGTGAGTCCTATTTGAAAATATTTGTTGTGCTGCTGGTTTGCCTAAAGTTAGCTTACTATCAGGTAAAGTTGTTGGAGAAAGAGCGGGAATATTTACTATCATCTCACACTAAACACTAACAGGAACAATACTCTGCCCTGAATATGCTGAATATGTAGCTTCAGATAAAAAATTATGTAGTACAAGACGTTGACTAGTGCATGTCACGTGTGTGTGTGCGTGCGTGTGTGTGTTAAGCCCCGGATCTTCTTCAGTCCTAAATCCGCCCACAGCAGCTGACCGTTACCTAAGGACCTCAGAGCCCTATTGGGCGAATGTGCAGGAATGAGATCAGACATGTATTTTGGTCCCATGCCATTGAGTGATTTATAAACTAGTGGTAGCACTTTGAAGTCCATTCTGTAGTTTACTGGTAACCAGTGCAGAGATCTAAGAACAGGAGTGATGTGCTCTCTTCTCCTAGTTCTTGTTAAGACTCCAGCAGCAGCGTTCTGAACAAGCTGCAGCTGCTGCACAGCTGTTTTGGGAAGATCAGTTAGGAGACCACTGCAGCAGTCCAACCGACTAGAAATAAAAGCATGAATAAGTTTCTCTAAGTCTGGTCTGGACATGAGACCTCTGACTCTTGATGTTTGATGAAGGTGATGAAACACTGATTTAGTTACAGCCTTAATATCGCCTCTAAACACTCCTACGTAACTCTCGTGAAAAAGTTTCAGTAACTGTAGCTGGCACTCTTCTCCCACTGCCTAAACTTCCGCTATTCATTTCCTGTGGTGTAAGTTGTTGCTTAGACACGTTCTGACACGTTCCGCCATGACATACATTTTCCAAAACACAAGAACAGCTCTGAAACTGAAATAAATACACACCCAGCCAAGGAAACTGATAACTAAAACACGCTGCTAGGGAAGGTTTGAAAGTAGAACCCTTGCAAAAGAATCATTTCACCCAAATCATATTAAAAGCAATCGTTACCAACTTTTTTGTCCAGGTGATGGTGGAGCAGTCTCCTACGCTATCATTTCTGGCTCAGACCGCAAGTTTGATGTGGATGTAAGCACAGGCCTGATCACTACTGTGGACTACTTGGACTACGAGACCAAGACCTCGTATCTCATGAACGTCTCGGCAACCGATCAGGCGCCGCCGTTCCACCAAAGCTTCTGCACCGTCTACGTCACGTTGCTCAATGAGCTGGACGAGGCTGTGGCCTTCTTGTCGGCCGGCTATGAGGCCTCTCTTCGGGAGAACATCCCTACGGGGACGGAGGTGATTCAGGTGCAAGCCAAATCGGCCGACAACTTGAACCAGATGACTTACCGCTTTGACCCCGACACGTCACCCGCTGCCCTGGCCCTCTTCAAAATAGACAGCGTGACGGTGAGCGATGAGGCGGTGGAGGAAAAGTCTTTGTGTCTTTACTTCATAGATTATTCCTACATCTTACACGACTCATTAACTGCACCGTAAATCTCCTGTGATCTAAGCCAAGAATCTTGTTTTTTCATGACTGTAAGCTGATCAAAGAGCTTAGTGTTCTTTCAAGTCATTTCCTTCCTTTGTTGATTTGTTTTGGTACGTGTGAGTTTTTCTGTTTCTGTCAGTCTTGTTTTATAAAATGGAGATGAAGGTTTGTGTTGTTGTTGTTGTTTCAGGGTCGCATCACAGTTACAGGCCTGGTGGACCGAGAGAAGGGGGACTTCTACACGCTGACTGTCGTAGCAGATGATGGAGGACCTAAGAAGGACTCCACTGTATGTGCCTTCATTTTGAATTTTAGTTCATTGCAATTTGAGTTTATTGTTACATGTGTCCATTTGATTGTAGATGCTTAACAGCGCTCTTCTTTTATGAAATGCATTTCTCTTTGGAACTGTAGAAGGTAAGAATTTACTTCATTTTCGTACCTTTTTGGTCATCTGTGCTTTCTTTTTATCCTTGTTTATTTATTTCAGCCGTGAGTATTAGTCTACAGTTGGTGTGTGGTAGAACCTGGAAATGATTTTGCCACCTCACAGGTATCCATCATCATTCTGGATGAAAATGACAACAGTCCCGAGTTCGACATTACGTCCGATACTTCAGTGAGTGTCCCAGAAGACACAGGCCTCGGGAAAAGAGTGGCGATTGTGCTGGCAAAGGACAAAGATGCTGGGTTAAATGGACTGGTGAGGAGGAAGATAGATTAATCCATCTGGTTCAACCAGTAATGTTTGTTTTTCTAAGTTTAAAGTCCCTACAGGATCTTTTTTTCTGTCTTGAATCTTGAATGAAAAAAGCAATGTCAAAGTTTTAGCATCCTGATCCAACAGAGGACGATGGCTGCAGAAATTTCGATTAGTTTTTCCCAAATAAGGAAAAGAGTTCCACCGGTTCTCGTTTATTTGGTGGAATTTGTCAGTGTTTTATACTCGGCTAACAGGCATAACAGGAACAGCCCTAAAATGGATAAGAAGTTGTTTACATGACAGGAAACAGTATGTTCAAATAAACAACATCAAATCCAATCTGGATAATATTACTTGTGGAGTACCACAAGGATCGGTACTAGGCCCTAAACTATTTATTATTTATATAAATGATATTGTCTCTACATGTAATATGTTAAAGTGTATCTTATTTGCAGATGAAAGAACTTTTTATTATTCAGGAGACAATATTGATCAAACGATAGAAGTGATACAGAGTTGGAAAAAATCTAATTATGGTTCGATGGAAATAAGCTTTCATTGAACACAGATAAATCATATTTTATGATATTCAGTAATAGAAAGTTGAATATAAAAACATTAGTAAAATTAGACAAAATCTGTATTAAAAGAGTAAAGGAAGTTACATTTTTGGGAGTCATAGATGTCTAGATCATAGTCTAGATGACAAATCCCTATATTTATTATATAATTCATTGATCGTACCGTACTTGAACTACTGTGTTGAAATTTGGGGAATAACATATAAAACCTATACACATTCAGTTTTATCCTACAAAAAAAAGCAATTAGAATTATAACAAGAAGCAATAACAGAGATTTGTCCAACCAATTATTTATCAAATTAAAAACATTAAAGTTTGACGACCTAGTAGATTATACTATTTTGAAATGCATGTATAAAGCCGACAAAAAGCACCTTCCAACAAATTTGATCATAAGATTTATGGAAAGAAAGGGTAGTTTTGATTTGAAAGGCAACAAAATATACACCATACCAAAACATAGGATAAATATAAAGGAACGCTGTGTATCAATGTATGGAAACAAAATGTGGAATAAATTAAGTACCGAAATCAAGAATACCAAAACAATATGTACCTTTAATAAACATATTAAAAATGAAATGCTTAGCTTACATGATGCTATGAGATAGACGTAGAGAGAATGAAAGGGAAAACACACACTGTATGTTCTACTTTGTTTCTTTTAGCATTTATTTTTTGTGTGTTTTATTTTACATTATTTGTTTTCTCCTTTCATTAATATAAGAAGAAAAAATATATAATAATAATTTTTTGTGTACATATTTGTTTTCTCTCCATTTTTTGCCAAAGCTAAATCAGTAAACCAGGTCAGACAGTTTATTTTAACTATAATAACTTTGTTGTCATTTGTTTTTATTTTGGTTAAGGGGGACAGATTACATACGTTTTGCTTCTTTCTGTTCCTTTTTCATTTTTTGTTGTTGTAAACCTGTTGTGTGTTTTGTTTTTAATTGTGAAGACATGAAAATAAACTTTAATTAAAAAAAAGTAAACAACTGGGGGCAGCAATAGCTCAGCAGGTTGAGAGGATTGTCCAGTAATCAGAAGGTTGTAGGTTCCTCTTTCAGTGAGCCCCAGGGCAGCATCTTCAGTGTGTGAATGGA